CCTGAAACTGTCCACTCCATGTCATAAAGTCATCCGTCGGCGGATCCTCGCAAGTCACGCTGGACTCATTCTCACTGGCGCACTACTTTTGGTCACAGAGGTTCCCAACCTCAGGTTTGGGGATCCGCAAACCGAGCTTATATTAAAAAGTGGACCGGTATGCAAATAGAACAAACATGATGAACCAGTTCGTCATTCCTTCCTTAGCTTTGGGACAGTTAAAAGATCAGATGTGATTGTGATGTATAATTACTTAAATAGCTGTGCTATAAATAAACGACGAAATAAATAACTTGCTCCATTTGAAAGCTCGAAAATGATTGTGACATCACGTATCATTGCATTCAGTAAATCTGACATTCCCACTTTGATCGTCTTTTTTTGTTTTGTTTTGTTTTGTTTTTTACTGGTGTGTGGGCAGTGTGGGATGGGTTCCCATTCAGTGATTGTGTGTGAGGTCTGTCTCTATATGTGCCCTGCGACTGACTGGCGACCAGTTCAGAGGGTAGTGCGCCTTTTGTCTAAAATCAACTGGGATAGGATCCAGCAGCCTGTACAGGATAAGCGGTGTTGGAAATGGATGGATGAATGGTGTATTAAGATAAGATAAGAAAACTTTGTCTCACAATGGAGAAATTCCTAATTTACAGCAGCAAAATTATGAAAGGGAGAAAGTAGAAGAAAAAAGTATATAAATAATTTAATTATAAAACATAAAATATAAATATAAGCATTTTAAAAATGGGTTAGTGGGGGTGAGTCCAGGTTTTCAGGACCGTCTATTCAAGTGCAGGAATAAAGGTTTTTTATAGTATGAATGTGTCTTTCCCAGAATAGAAGGTATAATTTCAGAACAAAGTCATATTTATTTTAAATTCATGTGTTATAATCATTAGCCCAATAACATTGTCATTTTTTATGTGCTTTTTTTAAAAAAACTTTTTTGTTACTTTTACCAAATCAATTAGGAACACCAAAATTGTGTTGTCTTTTTTTCTGAAAATGTTCAAATATGACTTGGGCAAATAATTTTTCAGGCTACCCCCACCTGCCGAAGAACATTTGCTGCTGTATACATTGGAGCAGAGCATATGTCTGCTATTGGTGTTAATTTAATGAAGTGTGAGCGAAGAATGTCCAATTGCTTTGACTTAAACAAAAAAAGTAAGAACACTTTTGTCTAAAAAAAAAAAATTTGGGTTCAAGTATCAAAAAATTGGACAAAAAAAACTCATCGGCTTGTCCACATGTAACCCGCTACCACCTATTTAGGCCGCACGTGTGCAATGTGTCACGACTCCTTTTTTTCAACTGCGACACCTTCTAATGTGGCGGAGACGAGCCTCCGGGTGAACCTGCACTTTCTATGTCCACACGCAACACACACACGCGCACACACACACACACAGTGAATAGCGACAGCTGTGGGATTGTTTGTACACAGATGCGTGCATGCTTGATGATAATTGACTCGCAGCTGCACTCAGGAGTCGGAACTGAGAGCTTTTTTTTTTCTTCTTTTTAAACCCCTCTCGTTAGCTCAGGGCAGGAATGTGGGAAACGGCAGTCATCTAGTAACTCAATTAAGACCCCCCCCCCCGCGCCCCCACAGGACCCCAAAACCACACACACACTCATGCGACTGCTACCTTACACCTTTCTGCCAACTGGGAGATGAGAGTGTCGGTATTAAAGCATGTGACCCCTGCAACCTCTTTCCTGGCCTGGGGGGCCTTAAGTGTTTAACTAGTGTCATGACTGGTTGGATTTTTTTTTTTTAAGTATGAAGTGGTACACACAAAACGATAATCAGGTGGAAATTGACACTTACCCCCCCCCCCCCCCCCCCCCCCCCCCCCC